ACATAGCGCGATAGTCAGAATTTTTTTCTGGCATATGTTCGTTAATGTAATAGGTTTGATCCCAAAGTCGGAAGGATATGTGCCAGATTTAACCCCCAACTTAGTAACAGTTGAGATTTGTGCCTGAAGTAATTTCTATTCCTCACCAAAGCCTGTAAGCAGTCCGAGTCTATCAGAAATTAGGATTTCGAATACATAAGAAAAGAGACCACCCAAGCAAAAACAAAACAAAAACAAAGCAAAAAACAAAACAAAACAAAAAACAAAACACAAACAAAAGCGAAACCAAAAACAAGTCATCCCTCCTGACTTTGGTGCAAGTTTTTTTTTTTCTATGTTATACTTAGTTTAATTGAGTACATATTTATAACAGCTAAATAAACCGACGAAATAAAGAAATAGGAAAATTTTGTAAGATACAAAGAGTGTTGAATTACTATGTAATTTCAATCCTCTAATATGACAGAGGATAAGGGACTATTTCTATATAGATTAAGAGAATTCAGGCAACAGAGATATGGCTCAACAGGATGATGTTGCGAATACCAAGTACAGATCATGTCAAGAAGGAAGTTTTAAGAAAAATGGTAGCAAAAAAGACGATTGTTCTTCTAATCACAATGAAATTGTTGGAATTTCTGGAACACACAAGGAAAGAGTTTGGGCCATTTTCCTTATACGGCTTTTAAACCATTTGTGGGTTATTTAAAATGTGTGGATTATAGTACTAGAGTTTCCCAAACGGTACCCAATCTAAGTACTCACACGGCCTAACAATGTTTTTGGAGATCGAAACAGAACCGGTGTTTTCAGCGTGATTTGACCGTAAGCAATGAGGAAAAACTACTTCAAGAATTTCACACTCACAAGACTTTGAAGATGAAAGGGAAACAGCAAGTAACCTACCTAACGAGTGTGTTTAACATGAACGGCAAAACAGAGAGAGTGAGAAAGATAGTTTAAAAAACAAAAACAAAAAAACATTGCAATGGTTTGTAAAGGATAGGAAATTGTTGAGCGCCATGATTACCTACATTCACGGACAATTCCTGTCAACACTATCTTCTCACCTATATTGACTTATAAGGAACCAAGGACGTTTATACTATTTACATTGTTCGGACTGTTGCCATATCCACAACGTTTCAGTCCTTGTACGCCCTGGTGATTCGAAATTCCAAACACCTGAAGAACGCCGGAGCGTACGACGGTCGAAACATCGTGGATATTGTAACGAAGATAAGGTCAACAATCCGAACAATGTAAATAATTTAAATAATTATAATACCTCATCTCACAAATATAGACAGTTATGAAAACCAGATACTTAAACTCCTGCAAGGAACAAAGAGGAGATTTTATGAATTCATGTGGTTGGGAAGGAGTTACGGGTTCATTTTATGGCCTTAATATTTATTAATCTTTGTGAGTGTCACGTGTTTACCCCATGCAATAAATAGTGATCGATAGTTTTTTGAAGGTTTATCAGCTTTTGTAAATTATTTAAAATTGGAATTATATTTTTAAGACTGTAATAATATTTTGAAATTAACAAGGATTTTTCAAGGTTAAAAACCTATAGTCGAGGTGGATTGAAGTGATGCATTCATCCCAACGGTATTTGGTAGTGGAACGAACCCAAATAGAATTCAAAATCGTCACCTCGATTTCTCATTCCTAGCTACTCTCCATTACAACACACGCACATCCACTCATAATCAATACACATACTTTTCAATAAAAACTTAAATTACGATAACATTTAAATAATTAGAAACACGGATGAGAAACTTGTGACGTCCACAAAATTGATATAAACCAACCAACGTCATCAAATCAAAAAGTGACATATGCTCACCCAATGAAAACCATAAATAGAATTTAACCATTTTTAAAAGTCCCACATTTCCCCCAAAATTCTGATGAAGCTAAATAAACCGCGAAACATGTTAAATGCACAAAAATTCCAACTTATTTTATATTTGATCATTTTTATATATATATATATATATATATATATATATATATATATATATATCTTGTTCTTCTCTTCTTGTAACGGCATTCATCCGAGGTGGGTTGAGCCGGCTCCAATATTGAAGTTTCATGGGAATTTGGAATTCACAAGCGGTCCCCAACCCACATGTATAGCACATGGGATTTGATTATAGTGGTGAAGGTTTCGTGCAGGACCTTCCACACATTTTGAAGAGCCGATTACAGAGATCTGGTGCACTACGTTCCACATGGTCCCCCAAACGACCCTCCGCAGGTTTTGAATTCAGAATTTCCTTCTCCTTGACCAGTTGCCATCCAGTCTGTCTTGCGAATCCTTTTCTCCCACCAGCTATGGGTAAATACCCATAGCTGGAGGGAGAAGAGGATCCACACCAAGGGTATTAACACGTAAGTGAATGTAATGGATTCGAGACTCCGATTCCTCAATCCAAGCCGCTATCCATTACTCCACCGTGCCTCCTACATACATATATACACACGTCTCTCTCTCTCTCTCTCATATATATATATATATATATATATATATATATATATATATATATATATATATATATATATATATATATACTAGGCCATCAATGTTTGTCGGGTTCATTACAGTCTTTAACAAAATGTACTATTAATATAACTTAGAGGAAAGAAATCATTTTAGCATCTGATTATAATATACAATTTAATAAAATCTTTGCATGAAATTAAAAAAAAATACACATTTTGGTATTTTAATAATAATTCTATAAAAATAAACACTTATTTACAATTTAAAATTTAAGAAAGCCTGATTTAAGAAAAACAAAACAAAAAAAAACGTGTATATAAAATTGTTTATATATATATATATATATATATATATATATATATATATATATATATATGTCTGTCTATGCATTAGTGTGTTTATGTATTTCTGTGTGTGTTTATTTATCTGTGAATGTTATTCTACTTTTATGATCAGTACTATTGACTGATATCATTTCATCAACACTACCTCAGTCACATCTCTACAGTCGTGGAGTTAAAGCTGCCACTTTCTTTAATTTTCACCGAATTTAAGGTTGGGCTAAATTTAATGTGCCCTATATCAAAAGATAGATTCCGCTAAAAACCTTATAATGTACAGAATTATTTAAAAATGGACATTTAAAAACAGTAAGTTGAAATAAAAATGTGTTCTTTGAAAAAGAGGGCATATAAGTTATTAAAGATTTTTACAAAATTATTTACATTGCCTCCAGTATGTCTTCAGCTTCGACCTGGCTCAGCCCGACTAACCACAATAATTTTATTTCATTTTTTTTTTTCATTATTATGCACAATATGAACGAAATGTATTTAGGTTAATATTTTGAGTCACGGAGTTAAAACAATTCATTTTAGATCAAGAATGATGCATTACGAAAAATCTTTGTTGCTTTGAAGTAGATATACTTGAATGTTGAGTCACTAAGCCCGACCCCGGAATCGCCACTGATTCTCTCTCATATATATATATATATATATATATATATATATATATATATATTCAACCAAACCGCTACCATCAAATGGCCTCAAGGTTGCGTTAAAAGCATGAAACGGACTGTCACCGGTTTGTTGAACTCAGTGTCCATATTTACATATGGTCTATATGATATTGAAGACTTTTACCCATAAATATAACATCTTGAAAACACACACATATATATATATATATATATTATGTGTGTGTGTGGTGTAGGAAAAAAAAACAATAGTTTTAAGCAAGCAGCACAAATCTAAAATTATCAGCATCTGGAAAAGGGACTAATGTGACCTATAAGACTGAAAAGCAAGCGTTAATAAATTTTTGACTGTCAAAGTTAACCCCGCAATCTGAAATATTTAAGCGCTTAATGGATTTAAAATAATAAATAAACGCACTGAAAATGACAAGAGGAAAACGGATTTCCGGATTTTACAATGGAGAAACAGACAAAGATTTTTTTTAAAAAATAGGTGGGTGGAAATAAACGACAGTAAAAGAATGAAGTTGGAATTGAATTGTGGCAACGAAGAGAAAAAAAAAAAATCCATTTTGCTGTAAGCTACCGGCAACGCTTTTTCGGTAGACTAGTTTTCCCACTGTTCAAATCTGTCAGATTGTTGAATACCAGGACAAGCGAACTTGCAAAAGCGTTCCAATCTTCAACTACAGAAGCAAAAAATAGTTATAAAAACAGATAAAAAAGGTAAGAAAATAAAAGTGGCCGGTTTCGTGGCTGAAATAGTTACATATTTTCTATTGGTACCAGAAAGTAAGACATCGACGGTTAATGCAGCACTATCTTTCTCCTTTCATTTAATATTGGAATAATCTTAGTGATGAAAAAAAATAGTTTGAATTAGGAACTTTAAATTTAAAACATGGTTAACTTTCTTCATAATTGTTTGTTTTACGTTAAATATATAAACCTCAAAGGTCAAATACGTCCTGAATATTAACTTTATGTAAAGTTGGTTGTCCTTGTGTAAGTATGGTTGCAAAAATTAGCTAAAACTGACATCAAATGGTGCACCAGGTTTCTTGCATTGCCAATCTAACAATTCTTACTTAAAAAGGACAAATATTTTGCATATTAAGCTTTAAAAAAAAAAAAAAAAAAAAAAAAAAATCAAATTTTAGAAAGAGCAAAATTTCCAATTTGGATATTTCTGAACATTATTATATCAGCGATTGTTATGTTGGAAAGTTTTTATAATAAAATTTAGTTATTCAAATAGAACCGTGAAAGTATTGACGACCTCCGCATTTCGATCGTAACTTGGAAATAAAGGGAAATTAATATTTTTGTCATTTTTAACAGCTATATTTGAAAAAAAAAACATCTATTTTTTTTTTATAATTAGAACCTGCAATAAAAGTTTACTTTAGAGTCTGAAATGTTTACGGTACTTTATACTAGGTTCTGGACTAATACAGCATTTAGGCGTTATGACTCATCGAACAGTTGTGAATTAGAGTCCTAGAGAAAGATTAAATAGATAGACAAGCTGCGGACAACAAAAGGTGGTTCTTATTTCTTTAAGCGTGCAATGTCTTCGTTAGTCCCATGAAATGTTATTTATCTACGTGTACGTTTCTGCGGCTAATGACATATTAGGTAAGCTGCTGCTCCCAGGATTGGAATCCTCATGTCCAGGCTAACTTTATTTATGCAGTGTCATCTAAAACTAAACGAGACCGATCCCAACCAAAAGACTAGTAAATAATAAAATCTATATAAAGATTGAGGTTACATTGCGTTACGCCAGTGTCCCTGTAAATAAATTTGAATATGTTATTTGCCTCTTTTAACATGAATACTAAATGTTTCCTCATTAATGTTCCATATATCATTAGAATTTAGCGAAAACTAAGGGAGTTATTTATTTTACTTGTCTCACACAAACTTTTCGCCGGATTGGGAATAAAGAGTGAGGAAATATATATATATATATTCATTTTTATGCAATCCGACGTTTTTGTTATCCAGTTTCATGTGCAAGTAATGTGGAGAGATATTGCCGACTTTCTAGGGTCAGTTAAAAAGAAATTAAAAAAATACTTGTGTGAAGATATCAGACGGAAAAAAAAAACAATGCTCGACACTTAATTTACTGCTCATATATAATTTTTCTGCCAAACAATTGTTTTGTTGACACATTGTTCTCGATAAATTGCCCCAGCTAAACCGAAAGTTTTTTTCGGTTAACGATTAATAATATAACGAAAAGCATTAGAAACTCTTACTACAAACATTTTCGAATTGAATACCATGTGTCTATCAAGATTCGTTGATTTAAATTCATAAGTTTGCAATTTGTGGACAATATATCGAGACAATACCTGTTCCCTCAATGCCATATAATTTCTATGACATCAAACCGTCTTTCATTTTGGCCTTTCCAAAGAACCAGCTGCATACATTCTAATTCTTGAATTTAAACCAAAATTTTATTTTCCCGTAATTATCTAAACAGAAAAATACGTAGTTTGCAATTCTGAAATGAAGTATACCTCATTATTCAAATGGCTGATTAAGTGTTGCTGATTAGTGTTCTGGCGTCTGAATCAATATTTTGGCTGATGGTGATAGTTGTCATTTACTAAACGAAACGTGTAACCGTCTTGTCTTCCATGATTAAAAAACAATTTTTACTCTACACAGTCTTCCTCTTGTTAGACATTTCTAATCCGCTCACTTCATATTCTGTCCTCTGAAAACTTTGCTATTTTCGCACTTAATTTGAACGGTCTTACGTCAAATCCTTTCTTTAAAATACTATTTTTATATGAAACGAACTATTCATTAGCCTCATCAATTCAAACATTTACGTCGCTCATTCTCTCCTTGTTAAATTTATAAGGAAGAAGTGCCACAGCTTTTCGCAAGAACTCCTGCTTAGTGGAAAAGACTTCTGTGTGGATGTTTCCACGAACGCTAAAATCTTAACTAAGTCAATGGCCAATCGTTAGTTATCATCCATATCTACATAATCTTCACTTCCTACACTTAAATATATATCACACCTCATTCAATAACCCTCTATCTTGAGTGGCTATTGAGTTTTATATTGAGTTAAAACAAGTAAATGTGCGCGCACATTCTGTCAATGTATATGAATAAACATTTTATTTATAGAGTGAGTCAACTATTCGAGAACTTACATTGAATCGTCCATCAATGGAAAACGACTTCACACGGCATGCGGATTTCGCAGATCACGACGAGTGAGTTCTATTTTGACTTGATGATCTATAGTTGTGACCGTATATATAAACTAGTACGTAAAATAGTTGAGTAATTATGCGCATTATATCTATATGCTGGCATCAAACGAAATCAGCCACAGCGAAGCCCTACGTAAGACTGTTACCGGAAACATTGATCGAGATCACTTCCGCTTTACTCGTCTTCCTGGCAGAAATGATTTGGCCCACTGAGCAATCTATTGATATTTTTGCATTTGTCGCCTCTTTTGATACGAACAGTACTAGGAGAGGTATTTCTGGAGCTACAACGTATGAATTCCTTTCTATCATGCATGGAAGCGCTGATTTCAAAGTGAAGTACTGTCATCAGTAATCTCCTTGTAATGTAAAAATCCTATCATTTCAGTTCTTTCTTCCGTTTAAGCGGAGGGTAAACACATACGATATATTTTTATGATATTAGCAAAACAAAAAGAAACAAAAAAAACTAAAAACAAAATAAAAATAAAAAACCAAAAAACACAAACAGCATTTCGAACGAGTAGCGACATCTGTCTCACAATTCTCAGTCCTGTTGTATTTTCAAACAAAGTTCTATATGACAAGAATCTGTTCTTGGGTTGCATTGTGATTAGTACATAAAATAATTAGAAAATTTTTGCGTATTTGTTCCTGTTAAGAAGTTGGGGTTATTTCAGACTGAACATCGATTCTGCAGTTTATCGAAGCGAACTAAAAGCTTACCAGTTAACATGCGGATAAACCGAAACTTTCTTTTAATAAGTCTCCAGGAAATTATTAAATATTCTTAGTAAATTACATTAAGACTCCTTGCAGATATTATAAAGAGTATAAAATATCAAGGGGTATTTTGTGGAGTTATTTTCTTTCTCTTTCCATAATCCTTTTTCAAATATGGTTGCCATAAAATAAACAGTTGTAATAGAAGTTCTGATTTTGGAAGGAGAACGTGCTGCAAGCATTGACAGGAGGTCAGTGAATGCTTATGGAAAGGCTGCACATGATGTAATCAGTCTAAGACGATAGTTCTGTCGGAGTTAACTCCTCCTTTAGTACATTAACCCTTTCACCAGGGGTCTCCCTTCCCTGGCTATAAATAGCCGCTGACCCTTCGCCTCTATCTCTTTTTCCTTCAGGCCTGTGCGCCGACACCTTGAGGTAAATCTCTCCTTTTCATCAGGCTTTCAGCTTACAACCTCGAAATGTAGGCGCTAACAAGGGATAGCGTGGAAACACGCTAAGCACAATACACGCACACGCAGGATATTCACACACGCACATACAGAATATTCCCATACACTTCATCCTTTGTACTGTTTCCATATATTGTAACTTATTAATATATATTTGTATATACATATATTATCGGTCTTGTGTTTTGTTTGCTTTCTTTGCCTTCTTCTTTGGACGTAATCAAAAGTTCAACCTTTTTATGTAGTTGGGCCCGGAGAGCAGGAGAATCTGAACCTTACATGCGTTTCTTCTACATCTGACTTCTATCAACAACATAACAGCCACGGTCCCTCTACAGTTCTTAGTCGAGTTAATGGCAATTCTAGAGGGAAAGGAGAAAATTATCTCAGCGACAATCACATTATTACTTCGTGTATTTCTCTTATTACATCCGTTGTTAGAGTTGGGTATATTACTAATAAAAAAATACGGAACCTCGTTTATGTACTAGAAAATCTCCCCCCCCCTCATCACCACATCTATACACAGTATCTCCACCTCCACACTAACACTTTTAGTGTATATCATGTAAAATTAAAAGTAAACCAAATGGAAAAAAAAAATGAAACAGGTTCAAGATTTGAAGCCTGGTTATTAGAATGGCGTATTAATAATAACAGTTGGCAAAAAATCTACCATACATCCTCACCAAAAAGAGATTTGGATTAATATTGATTAAGTTAATGACCACAGATGATTTGATACTAATACAGTATTATTACATCGTAATTTCTTACTTGATTTGTTCCCATTTATATTATACAGTTCGAATATTTTCTTCCGATTACCATGCTTTCCATACGATTATTCTAAATTCACAACCATATATTTGCGCTTTTGATGATATTTGGTTTAATGCAGGGAGGTGGAATTAAATGATTTTTATACACCGAGTTAAGGATTATGTTGATGATTTGATTGACGGGGAATTTTGTAAATAAAGTGACTCAAAATACCTTCGTTTGCTTGTATATATTTTAGAATTTGAAGGAATTCGGGAGTTGATTTGATGCTATAATTGTTAGGTAGAGATGGAGTAATTATATCATTAAGGAATTTTGACAGCTCGTCGATAGGTGTTGGGGTGTCTGTTGACGGATCTGTTTAGGGACTCCGTTGTGTTTTTATTTAATTTCGTAAATTCAGATCAATCGTCTATGATGTGTAATTTTTTATGGTAATCGGCTTTGTCCAAAATTAAGTGTTAGCTTTGTTGGATCATGTGATGACGATATTAAAATTGTTTATTTTAATTCTTTTACAGCATTTCTAGTTTTGTTGCTAGGATATTGTTGTGAGGATAACGGTCATCTAAGCCCCTTGCTTTGAGGAGTTCTTTCAGGTTTGAAGGCACTTTTTACTCCGCCAGCCCCAAGTTGGGATAATGACTGCTGCAAAATGTTAATCTTCTTTGTGAGGGAGATTAAATTACGTTTGGAGATGGCAATTTGGCCATAGACTTAAGAATTCCTCTTGGTATTTCTGTTAATTCCTGACTAGATAGGTTTAGATATTTACCGCTGCTATTGGTTAGTAAAACTTTACCTTGGTGTAGTTTACATAGTTTCTTGTAATTATTTGTCTGTGTGTAAGTAGGTAGATAGTGGGGAGAGAAAGACCTCCAAACAGACGGGAAAAGCGAAGACCTCCAAACAGACGGGAAAAGCGAAGACCTCCAAACAGACGGGAAAAGCGAAGACCTCCAAACAGACGGGAAAAGCGAAGACCTCCAAACAGACGGGAAAAGCGAAGACCTCCAAACAGACGGGAAAAGGAAGACCTCCAAACAGACAGGAAAAGGAAGACCTCAAACAGACGGGAAAAGGAAAACAGACGGAAAAGACCCTCCAAACAGACAGGAAAAAGGAAGACCTCCAAACAGACGGGGAAAAGGAAGACCTCCAAACAGACGGGAAAAGCGAAGACCTCCAAACAGACGGAAAAGCGAAGACCTCCAAACAGACGGGAAAAGCGAAGACCTCCAAACAGACGGGAAAAGCGAAGACCTCCAAACAGACGGGAAAAGCGAAGACCTCCAAACAGACGGGAAAAGCGAAGACAAGAGATGAAGAGAAATTATGAACAAATCTAACCAGTATAGTGAGGTGTCAAGTGGTTCAGATTTCACCAAATCGGGTTAAAAAGGTTAGTAGATACTTGAAATATCTTAGAAAGCCATATAAAAGATTTCACTTACACAACAATGATATTCTTGCTTCACTATTTTTATCCTGTGCAAAATATTTCAAGCTCAGGAAATATATGGTGAGAATGTGTGAATATATATATATATATATATATGCGCGCTACCTTTAGCACGTATGTTCTGTTTTGATCGGTACTAAAAAATTTATCCCCGTGTGCTTGTCCAAGACACTCAATATACAGCTATATGTAAAAGTTAACAGTATATTTTTTATTTATTTATAACTTTATTAATGTGTTTTATCATTAATCTATGTAACAGTTCGTTTAGTGGTAGTTAGAAGACTCACTGAAAATTATGATTATTTTTTTCTAACTTGCTAACTTCAGCATTTACTGTTAAGATCGACGTATATGCTGATCTAGCATGATACTTTGAAAATACCTTCGTAGATAAATGTGAAGCTAAGTAATTTTCCGATAAAAAAAATTAAAGCCGAATATTTTCTGGAAAGAAAGTCAGTTCAACTTCCATTTTTGTATTTGTCTTCTACATGCTATTCACATTTATATGCACATTTGATTGGAGTAACTCCGTGATATCCAAACGAAAGTCATTTAAAATACATTAATAAAAGAAATAAAATCAGAATAATGGGATATGGTCGGTGGGTAGGATGTAGACCGAGACCTACGGCAGTCGACAAGGGAAATTTTAGTAAAGTTTATCAGTTCATTTGTTTAGTTTGCATGTAAAGTTATACTTGTGTATATGAGATTTTATATATATATATATATATATATATATATATATATATATATATATATATATATTTTTTAGTGGGTACACATTTGAGTTGCTTTCCCACTTTTTTCATTTTCCTAAAGAGTGAAATTAATAACTGACCTAGATTGAGAAGTCCGCCTAAAGAAAGTTTGTGCCTCCGAGTGAAATCGAACCTGTATATAAAAAACTGTTTCTAAACGTATCAATTCGACTACAGAGGCTGCGTTGATACAGCAATGTTTAAGTTCCCTATTTAAGGAATACGTAATTTTTCACGTTACGACTTCTACGAATATGTATATCTGCTAGCCTCAGTTTCGTAGCCGAAAGATAACTAATTTATGAATAGTTTTTTAAAATAGATATTAGGACTTCTAAATTCAGGATAGTTACCAATGAAAATATGTGTACCCATTCAGAATAACTTTTTACAGTAATAAAGAAAGAAATTATTTGCTACAAACATTATCGTCTTTAAGATGTTCTCTAAAACAATTAAACCTAACAATTATTACTTTCGTTGGTACATAAATAAATTCTTTGAAAATTTTTAGGCTAAGGGAGAACAAAAGACACTCATCGTATTACTGGCCCTTAGAACCTGCTGATATTTTTTTAATGGACTGTGATTGGACGGTTCAATGGTGAATTGCACTCCTTTGAAAGGGAGAATTGGGATCGGACCGTAGAAGCAGTTGGAAACGAGATCGCTTAGAGAAGCGGTTCGTTTTTCTCTCTCCCTGCTGAAAAAGCAGGCAGCGTTTGCCCATAAGTAAAGGATGCATGGGTAACAAAGTTGCCGAGGGCAAGTTTCCCCTTCAGAAGAAGTTTTGAGAAGTCCTCTCGAAGAAGCCCGAGAAAAGAAAGTTTGAAAAGAAATCCATAAGTGGAATTTGGAGCTAAAGCCGTTTGAGAAGCAAACACGTGCGTTTTCAAAATGTGTTTTACCACGTGTTTAAAGTAAATTTTCACCTTTCAGCGACCGTAAAAGAACAATTTCCCAGCGGACGAGAGAAAAGTCAGTGAAGAAAGAAGGGAATTTGGTCACCAAGGAGGGAACTTTGTCTACACAAGAGAGAAAAGAAAAAGATAAAAAATTTTGAACCTTGAAAGGACTGAAAGTGTAACTGAAGAGCTAAGGCTCTTCCCCTTTTTTTATTATCATCATTGACACAGCAGATTTTTAAGTTTGTGTTACTCAGATAATAGGTTATTCTCAGCAAAAAGGGGTGAATTTTTGCAAAAACCCTTATTTAGCTGGTTAGAAATAAATCTTTTCTTTGTAATTGAATTCGATTTGCATTTTTTCTTTTTCGTTATTAATTCGGGCAATAGTGAAAATAATGTTGCAGAAGGTTTTATTTTCTGAAAGAAAATAAAATTTCCGTAAATTCTTACATTGATTAAAAGTAATTTTAAGCAAATATTCTTCAGCGTATTTTCTTTGTCAATGCATTTAATTCAGTGGTGAATATTCATTGCATCAACCAAATATCATACAGAGCCTAGATGAAATTCAGCGTGTGAAACGGTAAAAATGTTTAATTCACTTTCGTATTTACTTTAAACATCATTGTCGTCATCTTGTCTCCCCAAAGACCAAGCCCCTTTAATAATTTTAGGTATAAGCAAATATATATCCGCATTTATCTGTTTGGAATCTTCTGAATATGTTCACGATTACCTTTCAAACTTATTTCGTATAGACTCGGAATGAAATATAACTTTTTTTCTCTTAAGGATTTGAATATTAAAGAAGGAAATAATGAATATTTTTAACAGACGAAACACGTATTTTCTGGTGCGGATATTGGTAAGATATGTGTAAACTGCCTTATGATAAAATGTTTATGAAAGATCAGTAAATATTTTGAGAGAGCAAGTCGTCGTCGTCGAAACCGGCCACCGTCACTGTTCAAGATATGATTCGAAAGAAGTTTCAGTCTGATGAGATTGGACAGTAAGAAAATTGTGTAGCTGACGTTTCTCGACAGATCAATGTGAAGCCAGTAAGGAAGAGCGATGTGTTGGGATGAACAGATTTGATTCAAGATTACATCGCCGGTAACATTGGCTGATTTGCTTCAAAAGACAATATCGATAGAAACCCTTTGTATATGATTTGAGGAAATCAGACGACAACAGAGTATGAGATCTACTATAAAGAGAAATAGAGGGCAAGAGAAACAATAGGAAATAACGAATTGCGGTTGAGAGATAGAAAAACAAACTAATGCCATGCGACAGAGAATAAGAAAGATGGGAAAAAAAAAGTGAGGATATGAGAGAGAAGGCAATAAAAATCGGGGAAAGGTAATTAGAACAGAACGGCAGTAGAGAAAGTTTTTTTTTTTTTTAACTGTGTCTCTCTCTTTGCTACTATGGCATGCGACAAAGTGGAAAGATAGAAAAGTGTAAGGATTTGTGAGTGAGAAAATGCTCCCCCCCCAAAAAAAAAGAATGAAAAACAGTACGATCGAGAAAGAGCGGCAACGAATAATAAAAAAAAGAACGGTACAATCAAGAAAGAGTGGGAAATAAAAAAAATAAAAAAACCTGGCACGAATAAGAGAGGGAATTAACAAAAAACATCTCGACGAAGAAAGAGATAAAAGAGCGGCTGTCTTAATATCAATGGAATAGGGATGATATCAAAATATATTAGAAGATAGAAACAGAAAAATAGGATAATAGTGAGACGTGAACAACGGTTCAACGTTAAAGATGAAAGTAAAACAAAAACTAAAACAATTTTGGGGACCTTGAAAGGAAAAAGAGGATTTAAATGATAACGCGTTGACAAAAAGGGAATTCAAGAGAGGAACGGAAAAGTGAATAGGAGAAATTAACGAAGTAGTTTTAAGCGGAAAATGGATAACAAAACGCATAGAACAGGATTGTTTAATGGCATGTCAACAGAGTTAAATTTCCAGTGTTGATTATTGGATATTTGTACAGGTTCAAAGTGTTACTTGTAATGTTGTGAAACGGAAAGAGTTAAACAAGAAACAAAACACACACACAGAGAATGAAACACGAACAAAATAGTCCGCGAATAAATTTTGGATGTGATCCATGTTGATATTTTACAAGAATATTAGATGACGCATATTCTATGAGAACAGGCCCAATTTGTCTCCAAATAAAAGACTTTGGAACTGTTTGATGAAATTTTGTTGCCGTCGTCTGTCTGTAACTGATACTAGACAATATTTTAATAAACTATGCACAATAAAATTGAACTTGTAACAAAAACACAAAAAAAAAAGAAAAAAAAAAAAAGATTTAACTGAGAATTAAAAAAAAAAAAAAAAAAAAAAAATAAAAAAAAAAAAAAAAAAAAAAAAAAGAAAAAAAGAAAAGAATCACCTCCTTCCGCATTCTCCACATCCTATTCCTTTCGATTGCTACCTTCCGGAGTCTGCATGACCATTTGATGAATTTGTTTATAAGCATGCGAAAAGATGGAAACTTCTCTCTACATTGCTAACCTCCAAACCTTTGCATAAAAAAATCTAATCACAAAGCTTATGAACCGTTGTAATGCGGTTATCGAGAATGATAGAACTTATGGTATGGAAAAAATAGATTTAAACATCAATATTTAAATATTTTTTTCTGGTTTCAAATTCGGACATTACTTACGTGATCATATATGCAGAGAAAAACGAAAGAAAAACTGAAAAGGAAAAAGTACAAAGAAATAAAAAATGAACGAACTGCCAAGAAAAATACTCGAAGAGTAAAACAATGCGAAAGTAAAAATATAAAAAAAAAAGATGGAGAGCAGTAATTTAATGGAGCATCCATCAGTGAAGAGAAAGCGCGAAGTTCAGTCACTATGACGTCACAAGCTCGAACAGCCAATCAGATTTGAAGATCGCTTTAATCGTATCTCAGGTCGACAACGTTGAAACGATTTGAATGTTTTATGAGATCAACTCTAGTCAATCTAATTACATTGCTGTCTCATATACGGATGTGGAAATTATCGAGTTGTTGAAGGGCACGAAACATAACATTTCCTGGTTGATTTGTTGAGTTGAAACAAAAGAGACAACAAAAGGAGATCCGGAATGAAATACAGAAGTGGCAAATTTGATGAATTCAGCATATTGATGATAACCACATTGCAAGCTACTAAAAATTCCTGCATTTTTGTGTCTATAAAATGGTTGCTATAATTGCAATTTTTTTCTTCGAGCAATCAAAATGAAACATTTATTTTAGTCTTGGATAGGGAATAAACATAGAAACAAATTTTTATCGTGAAGAAAACGAAGTGTGAAATGAAAGTATCGATAAATATTTGTTTTAATTCATTCATTGCAAACTGCGTGAAACAACATCGATCTCTTTAACTTATTCCAAGCCCAGATTATTTGTATCAATTATTGCTGTTGATTAATTTAAAGTAATAATTCTTTTGTGCTCGAGTTGGGGTTAAAATATTGAAGCAAATAGATCTTTTTAGCTTCTACAGCAAGATACGAGGACTTTTAGAAGTGTTTGATAGTCGAATAAAGACAACAATTATTTTCCGGTAGGGCCAGCTCAATCTATGATACGCCCCCCCCCATTCTGCTACATCTCAATTTTTCATAAAGGTAGTATTCATACGAAAAATAAATTTTACTGTGATATTATGTATAATAGTAGATCATATGCAATATAGGTGAACAATTCAACTTGAAAAATGAAAAAACATACAATATATTTAAATATAAATTAAACCAGAGATATGTCAATTGATCATTCCATTTCAAATAAATCAGCAATTCTTACCATAAACTTGAAGATTTTCTTGTTTTAAATGTTGAAAAAGTTTAACAGATTCGACATTATGGATAAAAATACTGTATTATATATTGTTTTATCGAGACTTAGCATGAGCAAAGCAAATTCACGGATTTACGTCAAAATCCACGAATTTTTTTTTCCGTTAATAGTTGTGTTTAGTTTAATTTATAACGTATATAAATGTAGGTAGAGAAAAAAGCAAACGTTGGTAAGATAGCTAAGTTCAAAAAGCACTACTCGAGGCCTCCAATCAGATTTTCTCCTGTCAGTTGGTAGTGTGTGTGTGTGGGGGGGTAGTACGTACCACCCGTTTTCAGGTATCTCTTATTTCCGTTCGGTTGAGGTTCAGAATGCATGAATAGGTGACAATAAAAAAACTACATCCAATATGGTCGGTTAAATCGAAGTCGTGAATTTCATACTGAAAGATAGCGGTTTCAGTTCAAGAGAATACAAAGACGTTCGCAGGTGTCCCGTCTATACAGAGGATGTTTTATTACATTCTCTAAATAAATTCCCCCACCACAAAATAAATAAATAAAATGGGCGCTTATCTAAGAAAAAAAAATGAACATTCTGGATCAAATGAGCTAACCAATAAGTAAACTGAAACGCTCCAAGACAACATCTCCAAGGTATGAACGTTAATTCCGTTTCAAATAAATTGTATAGTTGTATTCTTGCAGCCTTAACATAGGATGTTTTTATTTAATTACTATTCAATTTTTCACTAGTATTTATTTCAGATCTTGTTTTTTTTATTATTGCAACTTATGATCGTTTTTCTACGGCCGTCAGCGGGCAGCGTATACCAGAAATTTGGCCAGATGAACGTACATCCCTTGTCGCCTAACACTTGCCCTACAAATAAGGCCACCAAAGAAACCGGCTACCCAGCTTTCATTACCAGATTCTCTCCCATCATTAATCACTAGTTGAATTCTGGCCGAGTTATATCCTTTATTTCCAATGTGCTAACGGTTGTAGAATGAACTTACGAACTTATAAAAACTTATTGAAACTAGGAAATAAATAACAGACAGACTCTCTAATAACAAATTCAAGTAATCAAATTCAACAAAATGAAATTTTAATATGACCACGCTGATTAATCACCCAGTCAGTTGACAAATAGTGTTTATTAAAAGGTTCTTTCAAATCATTTATTATTTATTAATTTCAAGTATTTATTAAACAAAAAGATTTCTTTCAAGACTGTAACGGATATAGCCACGAAAATGCTATCAGCTACTTACTTTGATCAATTTCACACTAACGCTCTTAAATTCGTCTTTTGAGTTATCTTAGTTGGCAACCAGCCTAATAGAATGAAAACTGAATTCCAAACCGTGAAGAAGTTAATGGAAAACTACTCCACTATCTTTCCACAGAAAGAGTGGCAATTTGCAGACAAAGAAAAGGAATCTCAAGAGACATGATCGACTGCATACAGCAAGGCGAGAGATATTTTTTTTTTAAAAAGCAGACACTGTAAGATTACTCAGTCGACAATGAGAACATTTAGTGAGCTTTTATATTTTGGCGAATAGAGAAACAACGTATTAAATGGCATATTTATATTTAAAATTACAGTGCGAGTACCTCTGTTCATTTGGTTGGTGATCTTCCAGAATTTACAGGATCCAATTTATTTCTTTTTAATCCTGTTCTGGACTGCTCGTGCGTAGCTGCACTTGGCATTTTCTAGAACTTTTTGGAACGATTGCGGGGAGTCCTGAATGCAGTGAGAACCGTACTACTCCGTTCTTTGCGATAGGATATTGAAGTCGTGGTTTCAATGACATGGCTGAAGCGCATTCGGGGGTGAACCAAGGTTGACCGATTTTTGATGGAATTTTCTTAGGGGTATAAAACCATTCTAGAAAGGATCCAATCAGTGACAAGGGCAGCGGTTTTTGAGGTCCGCGCGGGGGAGTTTCCATCATGTAGAATCGAAAGATTTCCCAGTCTGCCTTCACATATCGAAAGATCGTTCTGTGTAACAGCACGTCAGGAGATGCCTTAGGTTTAGCATCAATCTGGACAATGATTAAAAAATGAAGTGTCTCGGAGTTAAAACTTGATAAATATTTGCCAGGGCAGAGGTGAGGAAGCCCCGATATTATACACCTGCTAATAGGATAGCCTCCTTTGGAGTTACTCCAAGGTTCAGATACCCGACTATCAGGCTGAATTTATTTTCATGCTAGGCCTACTAAGATAGTCTTCATACAATAGCCTAGTATATGCGTCGATTCTTTCAGACATCCAACTCTCCACTGTCCAGTATTTTCACTTTATTCCACGGGGCGGATAAACTACCCCGCCCTTTCCTCTATACATGATCTGTCATGTCCGATACCTCACTATAGCTTTTTGATGTTCCTCCAGCCTTAGATGTAGAAAAAAAAAGCCTACCTCGCAGATTAAATAAAGGGTTCAGTTCAGAATTCCCCGTAGGTTAACCAGATCGATGTACAACTGAGGTAGACCCGAAGGCACAACGATCCAAACATTGTGTTGATAAACAAAAATGGTTTAGTTTGCGGCATATCAACTTCGATGGGTTATTTAATGCCGACAAGATTTTTATTGCTGGTAATACTTTTTCCTTCAAAAATGTATTGCAGGTATTAAAACCCATTTTTACACTTTCATAGGTCCTGGGGTGTTAACTATTTGCCCATATCTACCACCTCGTGAAAGGGTGGACTTAGAAACACCAGCAATTAAGGTGGTTTCACGCTCCTCAAAACCTACAGATCAGAAACCTTGCTGTCGGATGTAGTTTATCGTCAAACCTAGGACGGAAACAAAAATGAGGACAATCCGAATATAAATTCGGTAAATAATGTATTAAGTAATTCATTATTTTCGACATTATTTTTTTCTTGAATGTTAGCAATGTTTCATCGAATAAGATCTTAATCTGAAATTTATATATTTTTAATATTTAAAAAATAAAATTATGACTGATTAACTGAAATTTCAAACAGTTTGCATATTCTATTTTTGAACGAGCGACTGTAAACCAAATGAAAGTATTATTTTCTGCTTCTACTGAATTTTGTCGATGAAAATTTAAGCAGCAAAATTTTGCACAGCTATCGTTTCATTGTTGGTTTTCATTTTCAGTATACTCCGCTTAACACGGGTATCTTACTCATCTGTCTTCAGAGGAAGATTTGTGTCGAACTTCAGTTGGGATCAATAGTAATTTTCACCACTGGAAACGAGAATTCGCATATAGCTTAATAGCGTTAAAAGTAGATCGGCGAGCCTAGTCGAATTATGTTCGCAGTCTCACAAATTCCATTGGTAAAGCCATGAATCCATCTCTTCTCCACTCCAACAACTAAATAGTAGGGTAGACTGGGCTAGCTTGCCTTGAGTGGTAACTATTCTAAGGAAAGGGAAAAAATGTACTCCAAACCGTGGAGAATGCACCGAGAAACCGATTCGCTATCTCCCAAGAATAAATGCCAATTCACAGATAAAGAAAACATGGAGAGCTGTGATCGCCTAAATCCTGAAAGGTTATATTATTAGAAGAATTGGAACGAAGAAAAGAGCGCAAGGTTGTTATGTCTCATGTATATGGTAATGAGCGCCGGAGACAATTGAAGTGACAAAATTTGAAGCAACCAAGATTTGGTTCTATCAACAAATGTTAAGACCATGGATAGAGCATGTGACACACTAAGAAGTATTTAAAAAAAAAAAAAAAAAATAAAAATAAGGCCTGAAAAGAATTTTCTTATAGAGTCAGCTGAAATGTTTCGGATACGTGATAATGAAAGAATACTTGAATTTAATAGTCACATCAAACATCTAAAACCAGAACAGGCAAAAAAAAAAAAATAAAAAAAAAATAAAAAAAAATAATAAAATAAAATAATAATCAGCTCGTAACGGACATGATAGGAAGCTGTGAAGAGCAGTGATCGCACACGTTCTGAAGGAAACTTGCACAGAGAGATATATATTAAACATCGTTCAATCATAGGAGAAAGGAGACTGCAATTTTAAATCCGAGAATACGTCATTATGAAATGATTACGGAAGGAGAAATTCCACAAACAATGGTATGGTGCGGTCATCTATAACAGAATATCTCTCGAAAATCCGCTTTGTTTTAAACATACACCAATATAAAGTCTTCAAACACGAACAAAAATGAACATACTGATAAGATAGCTAAGAAAGCCGTTTAAAAAAAAAACCCAAAACTAAGGAATAATAAATCATCACTTGACATTGAGGCTGAGATTTTGAAAATACTTTTTCCTCGAATTCAACAAGTTTCTATCTTTTAATGAAGAAAGTCTGGAATCAGAATCGCATCCTCCAAAAGTGGGGTATATCGTGTATTAAGGAACTATAAAAAAAAAAAACCCAAAAAGGTAGCCCTCAAGACTATCACACTTAGATAAAGATCTCAGTCAGATTCGTTATGGTTAAAGTGTTAATGAACTTTACATTAACTAGGCTCCTATTGTTTAATGAAAGTCAACGCCTCAGAATCCATATTCGTTTTCATTCTGTTAAGGGGCGTAATGATGGCATATATGTAATTGAACAACACCGGAAGATTACATAAACCAACAGAAAATTGTTTACTATGTCAACCTCACATTATATGACCACATCAGTAGAGATTTTCTCTTATCCATTAGAATCCACATTCCAAGTTCCAAAGTCACTGAAAGCATCGATCTGATAGAGAAACTATCGTTCTACAAAACCGTAAATATCTTGTGAGGATCCAAATACGGAAACACTTAAAACATCATCAGCTGTAAGACAAAGAGGAAATGAAAGCCCTAGTCTTGTTTACCTACAATTGAGTGATTCGACGTGGTGTAATGTCTAGTAAGCTTGTCTTACTAGAAAAATTACGACTGACTAGAGAGTTCGATCCTCACTGGTCATCCATACTTTCGACCTTGTGCCACATCTAAGTTACGCTAGACTATGTTCTGCGTATTTACAAACAGAGGTGAAGCGGTGGGCATTATTCATTTAGACATTCTAATGCTACATTCCAAATGAATCATTTAATATTGTTTTCTCTCCTGAGGTCAATCTACTGATGAAGCCAGTTACGCTGACGACGTGGGTAGTCATAGTTGGGATAACAATGATATTGAACAAAAACTCAATATACTCTACGAAGGGTTCTAAGAAATAAAAGTCAAGATAAACATTTCCAAAATAGAAACAAGGATTTAGACTCGGAAGTGATGGCATGTACCGTGAATCCACCATAAAAATTCAAGATGTGTTTTTAGTAAATACAAAACACTTCGGTGTATGGCCGAGTTTATAACAAATTCAGCATAGGAACATATTGAACAAAGGCTAAGCGACAAGCAGTTTTAACCAACATCGTAAATTGCTACAAAACCAAAACCTTAACCTGGGAACTGAAGTTAGGTTCTTAAATAACCTTGTCAGTTCGAGACTTTCATATGGATGCCACGAATGGCGCCAAACACATTCAGATATATCTAAACTGTCAGTAGTATACAACCGCTTTCTCAGATCAATGGCTAATATGGCTTTGAGAGTGTGAAAACTTGTTCTTGGCAAAGATCATACTTATTTGAAACCTTGTGAATTGGCACTACAGGTAACAGACAATTCATCCCTTGTGGACTTTCAACAGCTAAAACATATGTTACTAGAAGGGAAAATAATGACAATGAAGATGTTAACGTTTCTCAGCAATTCAAGCAAAAGGTTAGGAAAAGAAACTCAATATTGGAAAGAGCAATAACAGCTACTGGGCTATTTTCCTCAAAAATGTTTTAGTCCAAATATATGAATTTCAACCGGTACTAGCTGATCAATCAATGAATGCCAAATATTACCTCATAAGGAAGCGGCATGTCACCATTACAATTTAAAATCTTCCACACAGAAGATGAATTATAGAAATTATTCACGTCCTACAAAATGTGGCAGTATATAACTTGAGCCCCATATAGCAGTATAGAACCACAGCTGTCAACCTGCTAAGTGTTGCTACTGTGGTTTTAGTAACAAAAAGGTTTTTACGGGGTGGGTTCGGTAGCTACATTGGCAGCGGCGCTTCTCCTGGACAAAAGCAGGCAAGTGAATGTCATGACTGAAACCCCTACGCTGTTCCGAGCTCTATACACTAAACCAAATCCTACACATTTCCCTTTGTTAAATCACTGAGCAAACATCCTGAAGACTAATTAAAATCAAACTGCAGGGTGTTACCTCAATTACCAGGATTGATTATTTTTTTTTTATCTACTGCTTTAGTTTCGACATTTTTTTTTTCTTAAATCACTTTGCTTGTTTTAAATAATAACCATGCAAGTTTCTTTAACAAATGGGCCTAACTCTATATACGCCCCCTTTTTTGCCGAAGCCTAATAACCATGTCATTTCCTTTAACCCGCTTCTTTAACCCTTGAGCTGAGCCTGAAAGTGCCATACGAAGCCCACATTTATATAATTTCAGAAGGATAAGATTTAGTGGCACATATTCGTGCTACGGACACAAAATGAGGAAATCGAATCGTTACAGCCGCATAAATAAACAAACACCAAGAGAATCTCGAAGCTGGTTTTGGCACGACTCTTTGATTATTTGTTTTCAGAACAAGCAATGGGATTCTCTCCTCAGGTTCTCAAGTTTAGACAGTTGTACGGGGATTTACAAAGAGGCTGGCTTTGCGATTATATCGTCGAAGAAAATTATTTCCCTGTTCGAAGAGGCTTACGAAGTAAACGCAAGATTTAGGCTTGTTTCCGGTCGGCAATAAAAATCCGATCTTTTTGAGAATTGTTCAATAATGTTTGTCAATTCGGAAGAAACGGGTGGAAACGAGGAGGAATTTGTATTTCTATATCAAGGAATTAAGCACAGTGTATTAGAAACAATTCTTGTACAAGCGCCATTCAGGAAGAGGAAAACATTTGCAAATATGAGTGCAATCAATTAATGGCTACTTCTAGTTAAAGCAATAATACATATTTACATAGAAGTATTGCATTTTGCAAAACTTCAGTGATGCTTTAGTCGAAAGGAGAGAACTTGGAATGTAAACCAATAAAGTTCGAGGTACGCAAGTAGATTTATATTTATGATTATTATAAAACGAGATATTCGATAAGATGTCTATAAGAAAGGCGAGAGAGAGAGAGAATGTGACAGAGAGAGAATGTGACAGAGAGAGAATGTGACAGAGAGAGAATGTGACAGAGAGAGAATGTGACAGAGAGAGAATGTGACAGAGAGAGAATGTGACAGAGAGAGAATGTGACAGAGAGAGAATGTGACAAAGAGAGACTGTGACAAAGAGAGAGAGAGAGAGAGAGACAGAGAGACTGTGACAAAGAGAGAGAATGTGACAGAGAGAGAATGTGACAAAGAGAGAGAGAGACAGACAGAGAGACTGACAAAGAGAGAGAGAGAGACAGACTGTGACAAAGAGAGAGAGAGACAGAGAGAGATTGTGACAAAGAGAGAGAGAGAGAGACAGAGAGACTGTGACAAAGAGAGAGAGAGAGAGACAGAGAGACTGTGACAAAGAGAGAGAGAGAGACAGAGAGACTGTGACAAAGAGAGAGAGAGAGAGACAGAGAGACTGTGACAAAGAGAGAGAGAGAGAGAGAGAGACTGTGACAAAGAGAGAGAGAGAGAGAGAGAGACTGACACAAAGAGAGAGAGAGAGACAGAGAGACTGTGACAAAGAGAGAGAGAGAGAGAGAGAGAGACTGTGACAAAGAGAGAGAGAGAGACAGAGAGACTGTGACAAAGAGAGAGAGAGAGAGACAGAGACTCTGTGACAAAGAGAGAGAGAGAGACAGAGAGACTGAGACAAAGAGAGAGAGAGAGAGAGAGAGACTGTGACAAAGAGAGAGAGAGAGAGAGAGAGAGACTGTGACAAAGAGAGAGAGAGAGAGACAGAGAGAGTGTGACAAAGAGAGAGAGAGAGAGACAGAGAGACTGTGACAAAGAGAGAGAGAGAGAGACAGAGAGACTGTGACAAAGAGAGAGAGAGACAGAGAGACTGTGACAAAGAGAGAGAGAGACAGAGAGACTGTGACAAAGAGAGAGAGAGACAGAGAGACTGTGACAAAGAGAGAGAGAGAGACAGAGAGACTGTGACAAAGAGAGAGAGAGACAGAGAGACTGTGACAAAGAGAGAGAGAGACAGAGAGACTGTGACAAAGAGAGAGAGAGACAGAGAATCTGTGAGAGAGAAGTAAACGAGAAAGCAACATAAACAAAGGTTATGATTCGTCACCATGAAGCAGACGGAAGAAAGTAAAGCTTAGCTTTTCAAGTGCTATAGTTTCGTTAACTGTTTTAAATGAGACAGCGACATTTTGGTTAAAAGGAAAAAATTTGGTGAAAAAGAAGAAAAAAATAGAATGCTTTTATGATATTTGCAGTATTATTGCTAATGAACAGTCTTCATTGCACATACGTTTACATCAGCCATTGCATACAAATTCTGACAACAGCAGAAAGTATTGGGTTGTAAAGTTCATGCCGATTTTAAGGGAAATATAACAAAACGAAATTATGCCATTAAATATTCAACTAAATATGGACCCTTTTCTTGCACAAACTTCCTCCATTTTTCCTTCAACTTAAAGATTCCATCTTTCCAGAATTGCGGTGGTTTCTTGACAAAGAACTCATTATGTCATCCAAAGAATTAAAATTTGACCATTGACATTATTTGTCAAGGATCTTAATAAATAAAAATCCGAAGGATCAATGTATGGTAAATATGGCGGGTGGGATAACACTTCCCAGCCAAGCTGCAACAATTTTTGCCGAATCCTACTAAATGCACAGCATGGCTTTCTTAGGTTGAAGACCTGATTTTGAGGTAGCTAATGTTGGCTCATGTTGCTTACTTCAGAATCTTTTTCGATGAACATTGTTGTAAACGATCCATTTCTCATCACACGTCACAATTTGCATAAAAAGGAGTGGATTTTCAATGCTGTTTTAAGGCAAATCACAGATGAAATGTGATCTAAAAGATTCTTTTCACTCAAATCACGTAGTACCTAAACATTGTAGCTGTTTGAATCATGTGCCTAAAATGCAGCTTATAATCTGTCATTTTTATAGTGATGCAAAATTGACACGAATTGAGTAATTTCATACTTCATTTCTCAAGAGATAGTTTGAAGTGTGCTCTAATCGGAAATGTAAGCATACTATATCTGTGGATAAATTTGACGTGTTCTGAACTGTTACAACATAAACGACTAAAAATCGGCATGAACTTTGCTGAAAACCCAATAGCATAAGGGTTTACGCTGGCAACCAGGATACACGTTATTATAGTATAGGGTGACCCAAAAAACGGGAAGTTTTTAAGTGCGTATTGCCAGACATAAGCAAGTGGCAACACTGCGAGACAGTGACCTTGAGCAAGTAAACATTTCGCCATTTAGAACTCAAGATGAAATTCACAGTATCCCAGCTGAGATGTTGCAGCAGTCAATGAGGAAGCTCAATAGCTGATTTCAAGAATGCATTCGTACAGGAGGACGCCATCTACAGGACGTAATTTAAAAAAAATGAAAATTCCATCATTGTTTCTTAAAGGGCATGTTTTAAGGTTTCAATTACTATGAATAAGATATTTTTCTTCCATCACTCTTGGTTTTATTGGATTGTTAAAAAGATCCCGTTTTTTGGGGTCACTCTCTATTAGATGATATAGACGATTCGAATTTTCATTTAAGATAGTGTCAGTCGTCTACAGCCTACTGGTGAATATTAGCCTCATCTACTCGTATAAATTCTGGAAAACACCTTTAAGCTATTTTTGCGGAGGAAGAAGAACGTTTTCATATGGTATCGAGTAAAGTAAATATTTATTATATATTTTTTATTTGGTACAAACAAAGGGAAATCAGAGGAAATGTAGCCAACTAAGGAATCAACTACCCACCTATGTGCCGTGTCTCTTCCTGTCCTTTGTAGAGATAAATAAATCTTGTCTTTTGGCTATCTCACCCAAACCCTGCACCGCCATCCATTCACTCAAGCGCCTCAGGTAGAATATGCGTTGTTTTCTTTTGTCCCTCTAGCCTCCCATCTGTCCTTTGAGTATCAAATTTTCCAAGTTTTCTTTCCTTGAATGGTCTAGAAATTTCAGATCTCTATTGCTGATGTTAAGTATGTGTCCTTTCTGTTTCCATTGTGTCTAGAACTTCGTCGTTGTTCACGTGTTCGGCCCATGGTATTCTCAGCATCTTTCTCTAGAACCACGTAAATAATTTATAATTGCTTTTATTGAGATTTAAACAGTGACCAGAGGAATCAGTTTGCAATATTACATTAACCCATGCACGAAGTTAGAAAAATATGAAAAGTTAGACTGGTGTATTGTCATTTTGAAATTACTTTTTAGACTTCCTAGCGTGCCATATATATATATATATATATATATATATATATATATATATATATATATATATATATATATATATATACACACACCACACAAGTATATGATTAGTGTATTCCACTAACCAACAATTACTATTCTTAAAAGAGTGCTCAGTACAAAGTAGAGCGAATTTAATTATTTATTTAAAAATTATAACATAAATGTTATAAAATCACTACAAAAATAGCCATTTTTGTTTCAACACCTCTAGAGTCTTATCAAGTGATGATGTTGAATGTAGAATCTATATTCTACATTCAAAATCACTTGATAAGACACCAGGTGTTGAAACAAATGGCTATTTTTGTAGTGATTTTATAACATTTATGTTATAATTTTTAAATATATATATAATTACAGTGTGATTTTAAGTTGCTGAAATACAATCTGTGAATAGAAGTTAAATGGACTATAAAAATTAGTTAAACAAATTTAAAGGAAATACTTTTTTCGGTATATTATTATTCAAACGACCTATACTTGAATAGGTTTCGTAATACACAATATTTTATTTTCATTTGTACAAATATTCCAATTGTTCGATAAAAAAAAGTACTAGTAAAAATGGTACACACATACATAACAGATATTCTGTCTCCGAATCGTGACTTTTCAAGGTATCAAGCGTCGGAAGTTTTATGTGTCACTGTTATTTAACCCTTTTATTATTTCCTGTACCAGAAATAGTTTATTAACTCTTCATAAAGAAAAACAAAGATTATCGTTGGATAAAGAGATGATAGAAAGAAGAGACGGAAACAGGATAGACTGATCGGTCGCCTTGACCCGACAAACCCAATTCGTGTCCTGAACGTTAAAAAAAAAAAAAAAAAATTACGTAGCATAGGTTTTGCAAATGGGTGAACAATAGATACGGAGTATACCGATCGATTTCTTTATATAGGATTTCTTTTTGGAGCACTTACGAAGAATCGAACTTACAATCAATGAACTAAGAAATATTTGAATCGTACCCCGATGAGCAATTGAATATAGAAAGAAATTGCCAATCAATAGGATGAGAGAGTACTGTCTTCTGGAAATTTTCCTTCACTTCATTTTGTATTTTATCACAGACACAAATGCATTATCTACTCGTGGAAATCACACACACACACATATATATATATATATATATATATATATATAAGTAGGCCGTGAAGAATGTACGAGATAAGGGCAGTATTCACTTCACCGTGAGCAGGTGTTCGATATCAAAATAATTTCGCTAGATTTATCTGACTGAAAGTATTTGTCGTTAATTACTTTCTACATAATTCCGACTGAATTTTCCGACCTTTTTCATCTTCATTCATTCAGATTAGTATATTTCTGGGTAATGAAAACTAACTTTCCATTTATAGGAAAAAATCTAATCTCTTCTATATATTTTGCCTTTGAGTTCAACTGGGAGCCAAAGTTTTAAAATTGTTAAAAAAAAAAAAAAAAAAAAAAAAAAATTTCGTGGTCTATAAGGGAGTGTGATTACACCAGTTTGGTCTGCCCGGAGATTTTCCTCGTCATCCAACTAGGTGGCGTTATATAAAGCATTACAAAAAAAAAAAAAAAAAAAAAAAAAAAAAAAAGACCTGCTTTAAATTCCCCCTGTTGTTGTCTCTTCAGCCACAGAATGTCATAGTGACAAAAGTCTTGTTTCCGGAGGAGATTTGTTAGTATCTAGACTAAACCCTAACGTTACGAATTCAAGCGCAGTACTAAACTGGCAAGCAAGCCTCGTCATTTTACAGTTGAAAATGGATAAATGTAACGGTTTCTTCTCTCGCACTTCTCGATTGTGGAATTCTCTTCCGGATTCTTGCTTTCCAGGCAACTTTAATTTTTCAAAAGTTTAAGCGTAATGGAAATCGTTACCTTCAGTCTTAATTCCTGTTCTGCTTATTGTTCGTTTTCCTTAATTTTTTCTTGCTCTCATATTCTTTCACACTCAGTAACCATTCGAGTTTTAGCGGATTTATTGCCTTGCTTAGGGTGAAATAAAATAAAAAATGAAACATTATCATTTCCCGTATCACTCACAGATTAGTACTTTGTTGGAAAATGGTGGTTTCTCTCCTTTTTTCTATGTTACAGCTGATACAGTATATTGCAAATCCTTTTATCCTAAGACGATAAGGTCACTAAGGTTACTGAGACTGAAATAAAATTAGTTGTTAGCGAGGAAACATGACAATAAAATAACATGGTTTCAGGATGACAGATGTCGATTGATGTTGCATTTAAAGTTTTGAAGATTGTAGGAAAGCAAGAAACCGGAAGTGATTTCTACTGGTGAAAAGTGTGAGAAAAAAATATGAGAATAGAATTTACATCTAACTACTAAAACGACGAGATCTAGTTGCCAATCTTAAATTCATGCAGTCAGGGTTCCTAGGAGCAGAGCTCAGAACAATTACCATGGAAATATAAAAAAGACAGAGGGAAGCCACGTTACGGCCATGGGAAGTCGAGATGTCAGGACATAACATTTCAAATTATTTGGATTTTGTAGAGTATCTCTAGGTATATAGAAGCAACACCTGATAACATAGCAGTAGTAAATATAAAACACAAACTTTTGAGTAATACGTCCGTTTCAAGACTAGCGAAGTGTCGGTTCAAGATTAACATTCAGTGCAACCAATCGCCATAAAAGCATTAAAATTGGGGAAATAATTCATGAGGACTGTCATGGAAAAATCCGTCAGTTCTCTCTCATCTCTCTGATAGGAATCAGTGGTGAAATCTGTCAGATCATCTCTACTGGAAACCCGTACGTTGACGTAAAAACTGTCCTCTGGTTCTTGACACTTGATCAAAATCGATTGCGT